GAAAATTAGCACGTGGAACCATGAGGTCACTGTCGTTCAAGATGATGTGTCATGGCGTGTAGTTAACAGCACTGCAGTCTCGTCACTTATAAAAAAGACTAGTAATTTTCGAGCTCAGAGTGAAGTCTAACAGGTGTTCCTTATTGCTCTTTACTGTCTAGGTTGCAAAGGCGATTTGCACGTGATCAATGTGGTAACCAAATCTGAAAAAATTGAAAGGGTTAATCATGGACGCCGCATTCGCTTCAAACGAATACCATTCTCATCTCCTTTTAGACACCATCCTTCATGCCTCGTGTAATCGGTCTCATGCTTCAATTATCACACCCGCACCCAAGTGAGCTGACAGCTGCAGAGAGGCAAGAGTGTGCCACACATCAGTTATCTGTCACAGCAAATTCATTTACACATTTGCCTAATAATTGCTCTTCTCGTTGACTTTGAATAATTGCCCGATCATGCCCCCTTTGCAGACGACATTGTGGAGATTCAGTAAAGTTACCCAGTGCGGCCATTTTCTACGTCAACCACATTTCTTGTTGAAGGACCTTTGTATAAGATCCACATTATGCTTTCGGTATTCAGCTGTGTATTTAAAATGTATGAGCATTTAGCTGAAACACAACGATCACACCTTGACACTTCTAAATTCTGTTTTTATAGCACAGGTTAGGTGATGCTTTTAAAGCTACACATAGCTGAGAAATCGAGCCAGGAAATAAAAAGGGTTTTCCCATCATCCAAAGTAAAGTGGACAGAGGTCATCAGCACTGCCTATCATGCAGCAGCAACTGCAACTGGCATCGCATCCATTGTAGTCATAGCTAAGACTTCGAGCGTAATTCTGTCGTAAACGGAATGTACTTTAAATAGGTAGACTTAACCTCAATGTAAGAGATTATAAGCCTACTCTAATTGTCGATGGCTGGACTAATAATGCCACTCACAAGGCTACTGTCTTGTAGGCGCTTAACTTATGCCACCTGACTACATCAAACATGACTGACGGCTTGAGTAAGTAGGAATTGGTTTACTAATAGCGGTAGTGCATAAAATTTGTGGAGTGGCAACCTGCGTGTGAAAATTCAATTCTTATGTCCGGTTTAGTGACTTCCTCAACCTTTCGGATCAACCCCACCATAACTGTACAATCGGGTGTTCTGCTGATGGAGCTTTTGGGGTTAGTGCTATTGCCAACAACACCGACTAGGTTGGGTGGCGACGCGAGTGATCGGCTCAAAGAGGCACCATAAATGACCTTCTGAAAGGGAAATGGGTTGGGTAATGTGTTGTTTCTCATCTTTCTATTGTGTTAACGGATTACTTGGGGCTCTCATATTGTACCTCCACTGGGTGACCTGGTCTTTAACCATGCCAGTAGCCCCAAACCTTACTTCATTTCAGCAATACATATTACAATTTCACGTTGTAACTTCAAAAGTCTTTTGGGAGGTTTTTTCGATCCCACAAGTAAACCAACTTCTAACTAGTTGCATTATGAAGGTAGTGAAGCAAGCTTTTGCAGTACAAGCAATCGAATGTGGGCGAACTCATTATCTAAATGCAAATCCAAGTAAATCTGA